TTTGTTGTTTTTGGTTTTCTAGTAGAAGCCACAAAGGCTTAGTCTATTGATTGCTTGTGTTCGATGGCCTGGGTGATTCTGCTGTTGAATGCCAGTTTTGGGCGTTGGACATTCAAAGGTGGTAGAAGACCTCATCTTTAATTTTCAGGCCTGGGAGAAGCAAATCTCTGGAATATAGTTATGCAGTGAACTCACCCTGTGCTGCCCTTCTTTTAAAAAAAAAGTGTCTAGTAGCATCTTTCAAGGGTCAAATATGGCAGGTGGCCAACGACAGTTTGATTTCCTATTCCTTTTCATCTGATGCACACAGCAGAGATCTTCCACTAGAGAAAGGCAACTACAGTCTTCACACTGAGCTGGAGGGGGGCCACATTTCTTGGGTTGTAGAAGTGGAATTCAGGAAGCTCTTCACTTCCATGTAAGCTTAAGGTCAGGTAAATAAATGAAGCTTGAGTTCTGATTGTCCACATAAGTTTGGTATTTTGCTGGCCCAGGAACTGGATGTTCTACAAACTAGATTTTCCCCAAGACTTAAGGAACCTAAGCTTGGATTTAGCTCTTGAAGATACCTTATCCAAACAAAAGCAGTTCCTTAAGGCAAGAACCAGCAGCATTTATAACACAGCTTCCTGGTAAGTGGTGATGACTTCCAATTTGGGTGTTTTTTTGCACTTGAAAGAAATTCAGGGCTATTAGTTCTTCATAGAAACCTTGGTATGGAACATTACGTTAACACCCATTCTCCAAAAACGGAAGCATGGGCTGCCGTGCAAAGCGGTCAGAACCAAACTCAGACCTCTCTTCCTAAGGATGTGTATTTGCCTAGGAAATGTTTCCAGCTTTACACGAAACCCAGAGGAGATAGGGACTTCGGGAACCATGCTGTACATTGGCCACAGATGGGGGGGGGGGGGGGGGGGCTTCCTGTGGCAAAACCACAGCAAGACGTAGTGTCATGCTCACTTTACATCTGTGCCTCTATTACAAGGAACATTGTCGAAATTTAAACCAAAATCGGTTAAGTCTGGGCAATGCTCTGTCTCCGCATGACAAGCTCCTCGAAGAGTCTCCTCACTGCTGCCATCTTCATGATCCTCAAGAGCCTTGCCTGTGTTGCGTGTGGAGACACACATGTCATTGTCCCCCACTCCCTGGTGTAAGCAGCCTGAGGGACAGGTCTGTTTTCCAAGTCTTCCCCGGGCCTCCCTTCTCCTCACACCCAAGGGTTGTGTGACTCCCCTGAGCAACTCAGGAGTGCGTCCCTACTGACACAAGGTGTGCTCTACCAAGGACCAACGTGCCCACGACACGTCAGACCTCCTGCCCTGAATGAAAATGTCTTCGGTAAGTACACTTATGCCCATGGGCTTTCATAGATGATACTTGATAAGAAATTAGAATTAGCCAAACCCCAGCTGGCTCCTAACATTGAAACTCAGCCGTCCGGAGAAGGGGTCTGCCCAGCAGGAAATGGCACGACATTCAGCCCTCTTTTTCTTAGGTCCTCTTGGAGGCCTCGCTGGCTTGGGGACTGTCGGGGTTCCACCTCATAAAGGACCTCTGTGGAGCCCTCCCTGCCAGACAATATTGAGCATTTTAATTTCATGATCTTCCCCTGTTGCACTTATCAGTCACCAATTGTAACTCAAAAGATACCTGAGGGAAAAAAAGTGACAAGGGACATACAGGGAGGACACCAGTTGCTTATGTTTGGATCTTGGCTTTTAAAATGCGGGTCTTATACGAGAGGCTGTTTGTTCCAATGGGCAGGAATGGTGACATGTTACCTTACATATATAAGATGCATACACTAGCATGATAAAAAAAAATCACCCATAAGTGCAATTTTTGTTTTGTTGGTTCAGTTTATTTTTTACCAAGTGCTGTGAGCATATGGCCAGCACTTCTCTTGGCCATGAGATCTGAAGGGAGAAGACTCCTGATGGCGAAGAGCCATAGTGATTTATCCAAATGAGCTTCATTTCCAAAGGGGAGCTGAAGAGTGAAGGCCTCTCTCAGCCAACTTTTTACGTGCAATCCCCTCTCCCCACATTTGACATTTGATGTCTGCTTTGGTGGGTAATAGGAGATTGGAATGCATCTGGAAAGAAAAAACAGGTTTTCTTAATTAGTGGAATTTCATCTCGGTGGGCCTTGTTTTCAAAAATTAAATTTGATATTAGTTTGGGGGCTCAGAGTACTAAGCAATCAAATCTTGATGTGCACTGGCGTCTCTTCCCATTCACCCAGAATCTGTCTTTAAGAGCCGTTGTTAACTGGTGAGATTTGCAAGTGCCTGTAAATTTGTTTTCACAATCTCATGCTTGTCTGGGGTATTGAACTTAAATTTTTGGAGAACATTCCTCAAAGCCTCCTGCCTGGCTTCCTTTATGGAGGTGAAGCTGCAATGTCCTGTTTTGTTTTCTCAAAGGCAAATGTAAAAATAGACTCTCGTGGAACCCTGTCGGAGAGAGTTCCCAGGACTCCCATCCTTCCTGACTCGGCTGCGCAGAAGCTGCTCACTGCCACTCACCAGCCCTCCTAACCTCAGAACAGAGAGCTCTGACCCTCCCACCCTGCGAGGGCATGGGGGTAGGCATCACCCAGCCAGACCCAGTCTGCCAGGCAAGCAGGGTTCCTTGTGTTCTCCCACAACCCAGTGCAGGGACCCCTACTCCCGAGTTTGCTCACTCCACACACCTTGTCTGTGTCATTCCCTTTAGTATAACAGCAGACAAAGCCAGAATCCTAGCATCACAGGTCTTTAATAAACCACAGCATCTGCTCATTCTGAGAACAGCACCATCGTGTGCCTACTTGGGGCCACACGTCCAGCAGGTGAGAACCATTCAGTGTGATGTGTGTTGCAGAGACGTGGACAGAAGATACAGAAGAGGGACCCAGCTCAGCTTGGAGGAGGCAACCTGGGAAGGCTTCCTGTAGGAGCCTGAGTTGGAATGGAACTAAAAAGAGAAGAAGGCATTCTTTGCCAGGCCGAGGGCTTATTACAGGGGAGGAAGTCCTGAAACATCCCCGAGCATTCTGGGATTTTAGAGAAATCCAAAATTGTTCAACTGCATCTTTTGAAGTGGTCTGAGGGAGGAGTTGGGTGGGGTGCCAAAGAAGAGACCAGAGAACTAAGCAAGAACAAGACCACAGAGCCCTGCATCCCCCCTAAGAAAGCTGGCCTTGGTGGGTACTAAAGATTAGATCCTCATTCAGATCTGCAGTTGACCTTTGTGCAACGCAGGGATTTGGGGTACCGAAACCGTGCAATCGAAAATTCATGTATAACTTTAGACTCCCAAAACATAACTACTACTGGCCTACTGCAGAAGCCTCCCTGATAATATATCAAGTCGATTCACGTATTTTGTATGTCGTATGTATCATATACTGTATTCTTACAATAATGGAATCTAGAGAAAACATTTTTTCAATTTGTCACAAATTTCCAAAAATTTTTCCAATATGTTTGTTGAAAACAAATCTGCATATAAGTGGAGCTCTGCAGTTCAGACCTGTGCTGTTCAAGAGTCAACTATATACAGGACTCTTGAGTTATGAAACTGGAGGGTGAAAGCCATTAGGGGCTATGGATTCCAGCCAGGAGGCTGGGGGCTGAGTGACAGCCATGGCTGTGGGCCAAAGAAGTGGGGGCATCCTTTGAAATGCACAGCAGATCCCAGGGGTACCGAAGTGGATCCTGGTGAGGTGGGTGGGCAAAGCAGATGAAAGGGAGACTCAGCCCTGGCCTGGGTCACTCAGAATGGGGGCACCAGGGGCTGCGCAGGCCAGTCTGAGGAAGGCGTGGTCTGGGGAGACAGCTGTAGGCCTCAGGCAGTCCATGTGGCCACGAAACAGTGGCCCCCAAGAAGTCCAGAACCTCTGATAGGTTGGGCGGCTGTTAGGTTGCTACCAGCCACCCTTAGGTTGAGGAGCTAATCCTGGCTCGCCCAGGTGGGCCCAGTGTAAGCACGAGGGGCCTTAGAGGCGGAGAGGCAGACAAAAGGGGGTCTCTGGGCGAGGCGACACAGGGAGGGAAGTTCCCAGAGATGCTGCGCCCCGGCCTCGCTGGGAGAGGGCCGAGAGCCGCGGCCCCACAGCTGCAGGAGGCAGGAGACGTCCCAGGGCCTCGGGTGCAGCGCCGCGCGCCGGGCTTTGGGGCCCGAGGAGGGACCGCGGGCGGCGGCGCAGCAGCCGCAGGAGGTGCGCCCGCGGCCGGGGGTTTCACGGGGCGTCCTAGGGGCCGCGCCGAAGCGTCAGCCTGTCCCGGAGGCGGCGGGGGAGCCCGGGGCGGGGGGCACCGCGCCGAGCCCCGCGCCTGCCCGGGGGAGCCGAGGGCCGTGGGAGGGGCGGCCCGGCGCAGTCCTCAACTCCCGGCGATCTTGCCTTCCTTAAATCAGGCAAAAATTAACCTACTTTGCTTTTCAGAAACCGCCGGCCCACGGAGGGGACAGTCGCCGGGACTCGGTGTGCGGCCCCAGGGGGTTGTCCTGCACTCCGCCCGGTGGCCCTGGCCGCCGGGTGGGGAAGCGCGGGCCGCGGGGAGAGGGGCGCCGCCGGAGGGCGTGGGGCGTGGGGGCTGGCGGGGAGGGAGGGGGCCGGGCGCCCTCCGCCCTGCCAGGGCGTCAGCGGGCGGTGGAAGCGGGCCCTACCCCGCAGCCGGGCACACTGGCCTCTGGTCGGGGGACAAGCCTGCAGTTGGGGCATCTTAGACCCACCGCGGCCTGTACCCTGCGTGCCCAGCACCTCGGCCCCAGGATTCTGGAGCAGTCCAGGTTTCATCTCAAGCTGCCAGTTCCTAATTCAGTCAGCTACTCAGCTAAGGCCAGAATCCCACGGGGAGCAGGAGCAAGGCCACGCTGCGCACATCCCCCGTGGATGGACGGCTCTCTTCCTGTTGGCCTTATATTTCTCCCCAGGTCTCTTCTCCTAGCCACCAGGGCCTTGAACCCTGGCCGTCTGAGCTGCCGGAACATTCCAGGGTGAGTACCCAGGTCTGCAGTGCCCCTCGCGTCCTCCATGAGCAGCACAGCCACGTGGTGACAGGGGCTTATGAATGGCCTGTGGTCACTCCGTGGTTGGGCCATCACAGGGGCACTGTCCTGGTGACCCTGAGAGCCTCACGCACCAGCCTGGGAAGAACACCCCAGCCATCACCCGCCTCCACCATCTGCTCAGGGCCCAACAGTTTGCCTGGGTTTTGTCTCACCAAGTTCATATGAAGATGGACAGCACCCACTCTTCTTTTCTGAAGTGGCTCCCCAACACCAGGAGATGGGACCGAGGTGACTGCCCACTCCTCAAAAGCCCTGGTCACTGCTCAGCCCCACACCCTTCTCGACTCACCCTGATGCAGGCTCAGTGGGAGTGAGAGCCCTTCCGAGGCTGCTCAGCCCCTGCCCCTCCTGTCCGGCCACCTCAGCTCCAGCTCTGGGGGTGCACCCTCTCTTCCTTGGCCCTCCTTGTCAGAGCTCTGTCCCCCAGAGAACCAGCTCCCCGGATCACCTACTCTGCTAGGTGCTTAATCCTGAACTTTTGAGCTCATCATTCATTATAATACTTATTTTCATTTCTGCTTAATTTTGTAAAACAGATTCAGGTCGCCAATGTCCTTGTCAGAGAATTGCTCCAGTTCTTACAGCTCTGTTGTCATCACTATTTCTTACTACCCTTGGCAGGTTCTTTTCCCCTCCTACCCATCAGTGATTTGGGGGGGGCTCTCTGGTAGTTTGAAAGTGGTTTCACTTCTAACCTCTGTTCTTCCCTTTGCTACTGGTCTTTAATTTTCTGCATTATTGTCATGGAATATCCTCATTGAGATAGTTGCTTACGTGGACCAGTTTTCCAACCTGGTGCCAGCGTCACCCCTCGTGGAAGTGGGGTGGGGCGTCTTTGTGAGGTCCTGGGCCTTCCTGCCTTCTGGTGACACTGCAGGGGGTCGGGAGTCACGCATCCCTGTGGTCTCCTCCTCACCCGCCCACCCACTCGGCCCACGCCTTCTTGCTATTTCCTCACTGGAGAAGTGGTCAGACACTGTATTCTAAGTGTGCCCATGGGGCACGGTGGCTCCCCTACTTGCAGACCTGAGTTCTGAGAGCTGGATCTGGGGGGTCCTCCAAGGAAATCATCATTGAAAGTGGTACAGTTAAGAGATGGAGAAAACAGCAGTTCATAGTTGCAAGGATGTTTTCTCTTTAGCTTATTGTTCATTTATTAATTTTACTGTTCCAGAGATAAAAGCAGTATTTCCTCTCTCCTCTGTGGCACCACGGGGCCATCTGCGAGCTGCTTCCCCGTTCCCCTGCTTCCCCAGAATGAAGAGCCCTCCTTGCAGGAGGGGAGGAGCTGCCTCCTGGGGAAGACCATTCTCTGGGCCCTGAATGTGGACGTGGGTGGTGGCCACGGTGGTGAGCCCTGCCCAGAGAAGCTGACATACACACAGGTCACCTGGGAGGACATAGGGTGGTCTGGAGTGACCCCACTGGTGGTGACAGGCCCAAGAGGCCCCAGTGACTAGCCCTCGCAGATCTCTGGAGAGAGCAACAGGTGTGGCCTTTGTGAGGGAGTGAGGAGGACCCATCGGCATTCCCTGGCAGAGGGTCCCTGGTCACCCACGCAGACAGCAGCATGAGGGAGTTCACCCCAGTCCTGGGGGAGCAGAACCGGGGAGCAATCAGGTTAATTCAAGCAGAAACAGAATGTACTAGAAGGATATCAGGAGGATAAACAGAAGAACAGAAACTGGGTCGGGACCACAGTCGGTGGCAGCTGGGGACACGTGGGCCGTATCCCAGGGCCAGGCCCCACCCAGACCTTCCTGTCGGAGTCTCATGGAAGCCTCGGCCACTGAGGGACATGGGCCAGTGGACCCCTGCCCTGGGGCAGAGTGGGCACCATGCATTTCCCCATGTCACCCTCCTCTGGAGTCCTGTGGTGCCCCTGTCCCCGTGGCTCCCCCGGCTCAGCGACGGTGGGCAGTGGGGGTCATGTGTGCCCTGCAGGTGTCTCAGACAGTGCCTCAGGGGAGTAGGACTCCAGAGGATGCAGGCACATCCTTGGTGGTGGGGTGGGGGGCCGTGGGGGCTCAGGGTCGCTTCTGGGTGAGCTCAGGACTCAGGGCAGGCGCCAAGTGCATGGGCAGCAGAAATAACGGGGCTCCCAGTGAAGGGGGAAAATGGAGGCACCCTGGCAGTGAGTGAAGACATTGCCTGAAGGACGCAGAGGGACTGACAGGTGTTGGAGTGTCATGCAAGGAAGAGGATGTTGTTTTCGACAAAGTGAAGCAAACACTCAGGCAGTCATCAGAGCACGGTGATGGCCTGTCACTCGCAGCCCCTGACAGCTTTGCCAGCTCCCCATTTTCCTGCCCCTCCCCTCACCCCTCCAGGAGCACGCTTGTCCTCCTGGCCTGGCCTTCCCAGCGGCAGAGCTAAGTGGGGTCCATGATTTTCAAGTGCCTCTCTGAGAGAAGACTGAAAAAAGCAATTAGAAGTTGCCAGAATTGCTTGGAGAAGAGGCCAGCCCTAACAACAAGGAGGCGGACAGCAGGGGTGTGCGATGGTGAGGGGCCGAGGCTGCATGGCGGGGCTCCACTAGGGTGGCGGGAGGAAGAAGGAGCAGCCTTTCCCATCGGCCTTCCCGGGAGGCAGCAGCTGCTCAGGAGGTGGGGGTGCAGAGCACCCAGGAGCAGTCCCCAGGGATGGGCACCCAGCCTGCGCCCTCAGCTGGCGCAGCTGTTCAGGGCCAATGTCCCATCCTGGCCTTCAGCTGCATGAGTCTGTGAGTCCCAGGGTTTCCGGGGCCCCAGTCACAGCTGTCCTAAGGCCTTTGCCCCTGTGGCCAGAGCACCACAGCAGGGGAGCTGCACCTCGCGGGCCCTCTGGGTGGCTGTGCTGGGGACCCCAGTAGTCTTCAGGGCCAGAAGCAAGGAGGGGCTGCCACAGTCAGCCATGCCTGGCATGAGACATTAGGTTCATGCAGTTCCTCCCATTACAGAACAGGCTGAAAAAATTGCATATATGAAATCAAAGCAAAGAGGAAGCTGTTTTAGAGGCGATAAAGAGCTCAGAAGAGAGGCCAAAGCCCTAGCCCTGGAGGCATATGGCCTTTGTCAGTCGAACGTGAGCAACCTTCAAAAAGCCATTAGAAGGCAGCCCCATGCTGTCTCGCCATTTGTGCCAGTGGATGGCTCCCCTGTCCTGCAGGCCCCCCACACTCCATTTCTGGGACTAATTAGCCTTCCAGAGGGCAATCAAGGGCCCTCTGCTGGAGCTTAGATGGCTTCCAATGGACACCAGGAGAAATGGGCAAAAGCCAGTAAAGTGTTGGGTCCCCCGTCCCACCCCGGGGACAGGCCAGGCTGCTGCTTCTGCCGGCCCGGCAGTGCCCATCCCTCAGGCGGCCACGTCCTTTAACCCTGGGGGATGCAGCTGCCACCTCCCTAGGCAGCTCCCCTCCCCTTCCCAGCAGGCCCTCTCCTTGACCCCGTTCTCTTCCACTGTTCAGGCTTTAATCTGTACCATATCATCAGTCTTGGGTCGCTCACAGTAAACCCAGAGCTCTGCAAGGACAAGAACAGGCTCTGTTTTGCTCGTTGCTGGGTCTCCAGAGCCTGAAGGGCACCTGGCACAGAGCACATTCTGTTAACGTGGCCGAATGTGTGAGTTTTGTCCCCTGGGGTTCCTTTGAGGAACATACTTCTGTTAGGATAGATGTGTTTATTTCCTTTTATTTTTAATGTGATTTAGATTCGGGGAGAATTTGGTTCCCGAAGTTCCCTTCTCTAATCTTCCTGGGGTAGCCTTCACCTGCCTCCTAGGAATGGCATCAAGAGGGGTCACGTGCACTGCTGTCTTCTGCCAAGGCTCCAGCTTCCTCTTTGCGCCTCACCTAAAATTCACCCTTCCTGCTGCCTGCCTTCCCTGACCCGTGTGACCTGCCACAGTGTGGCCCTCCCCGTGGACACCACAACCCGCTCAGAGATGGGTGGCTGGGTCCCCAGCAAGCTGGCCTTTGGCTGACGTGTCTGTAGAGTTGGGACAAATCTGGGGTGTTTGGCACCACTGCAGGGCTCCCTGGTCCTCTTTTCGGTGTCCTGGCTGTCACCTCTCCCTGGCTACCCCCCATCCACTGCCCTGCCATGCATGGCTCCCCCCACCCGGCTCCCGGCTCAGTGCCCCTGCCCGCGTGTGGAGGGGGACCTGTGGGAAGGCAGCCAGTGCGCGTGGGGAAGGGAGGGCAGGTCTCACCCAGCTGTATTTCCAGGAGGAAATACTTCCCACTCACTTCCCCCTAGTGAGGATGGGGGACAGGGAATTGGGATATTGGGAAAACAAAACTTCAGAGAGCCCCAGGAATCAGAATGTGGAGATGTGGCAGAGCCCTGAGTGCCGAAACCACCCAAATCCACTTCACTGTCTGCTTATTACTCGAACCAGATGCAAACAGGACTACAGGCTGCCCTCGGTCCTCCACGCCATCGTCTTATCTTGCATGGCCCACCGGCACCCACCACTCACCAGACTCCAGCCCAGCTTCGGGGTCTGCATGGGTGCTGGGCACTGCAGGGCTGGGGGCCGTGAAGGACACCCTCACTGAGCCCCTGACCCTGCAGCTAATGGGGGACAGCAGTCAGCAAAGAATAACCTCACAAATACTTATTTCCCTCCCTCCCTTAAGAGGTTAAAAATCTGTCCACTATAGAAATGAAAAGCATGGGATTGTAGAGATAAAAATTAAAAATAAAAATTACCTATAATTCTGGCACCCAGAAATATTCACTTTAATAAAGCATTCAATTTTATAAGCAAAATTTTAAATTTATTATATTGTGAGCTTGCTCATGTCATTAATTTTTGTAAAATTTGAATCTTAGTGACTACCTAGGGCTCCATTTATTTCACCAATCCCCTGTTGTTGGACATTTATGTCTTTTCCAAATTTTCACCATCATAAAAAATGCTGCAGTGAACATCCTAGAAGATAAATCTTTGTGACTCTTTCTAATTAATTCATTAAGATAAATTCCTAGGGTTAATTCCATTCCATTCCATTTGTAAAAACAATGTGTCAAAAGGGATGATTGTATTCAAAGCTTTTCGGACATATCACCAAGATGCACCCTGGGGAGATCACATCACTGAAAATCCCAATGGAAGTAGACAAGAGTCTAACTCCGTGAACCCAGCCAGCACAGTTTCCTTCCCGCCCCACTACCCAACCAAATTTGACAGACAAAAAAAAGATACTTTATTAGTTTTTTTTCATTCCATCAGCAAGTTTGAATGTTCTTTATATGTTCTTGACTCATTCACATTTTGTCTTTTAGAAAATTTCTATTTGTATCCTTTGTTGATCTTTCCAGCTGCGTATTAATCTTTTATAAAAATTGAATATGAGTTTTAGTGATTAAAAAAAAACCTTCGTCACTTTTTTGCCTTTTTTTCCTCTCCCTTAGTTTTGTGTTTCTGACCTCAGTCCCTATCTGCAAAATGAATCCGGTGGACCAAGTGACCTCTTGTCCCCAGCGTCATTGCTAAGAGCTCAAACCTTCCTCCTGCTGTCACTCTCCCCTCATCAGCGGCCCTCTCAGGTCTCCAGACCCATTGGCAGAGCTCGGGGAAACCTGAGTTCCAGTGTGTACCTGGGTGGAGTTTCACACGAATAGTCAAGCCCATTCTGCTCATCGGGCTCCCAGGTGTGAGCCAGAACCATAGCCAAGGGTCAGCTTGCTTCTCAGCTTTGCAGGGAGAAACCTCGGTGAACTGCTGCAGAAATGCAGAACTGGGGCCAGCCTCCCTGACTGGTTGAAAGAATAATAAGTCCTCAGAAGGAACTCAGATATAAGTGCAAATTTTGTGGCATCAAAAATCTATTTCTAAGTAAGAAAAGTAGATTCCAGAACAGTGAATGCCCTTTCATACACCTGTACGTACCCACACAGAGAATATGCTCTGGAAGCATATCCTTCAACATATTAACAATTTCCATCATTAAAGGGTTTGGGTACCAATTCTTATTTGGTTACTTTAATTTGTATTTTTTTACAAAAGAAGTGAATTTCTGTTCAATGAACACCACCACTCCTCACTCTTACCCCCAAATCTCTCTCTCTCCCCCTTTCTGATGTTGCCTCTGAATGGACTGCTCTCGGGCAGGGGGCCACTGAAATCACATCCCATTGGGACATGTCATTAGTTTCATGCAGCTGTGGGTGGAGCCTCATGATGCTGTCGGCCAGGTCATGTCAGGTCCTGTCAGCAGGAAAGCTGGGTGCCATACATGGACTGGGGTTTCTTCAGGAAGAATTTTTCTCCCATTGGCCATTTTGTGGATCTCTGGGTCTAGGGTCACAGCTTCCTAAAATAGGGGTTCTCAAGCACATAGGAGAAGATTTCACTGCACTACTTTTTCAGACTGTACTCCAGGGCCAACAGAAAAACACGGTCTAGGGATTGAATTAACCTGCCTAAAACCCTCACCAGCTCACCCAGCGCACCTGTGCACATGCCCGCTTCTCTAGGGGCAGATGGAGGCGCCGCTCGCAGGCCTGGGGCTCTCTTGCTGGCTCTCCAGGCCAGGAGTCTTCTGAGGATGTGAGGACAGCTATTTTGTCATGACAGATGAAGTCTAGGCTGTGGCTGGGGTGCTGCTAGTAAAAGAGAAAAATCTAAGACAGTCCTGCAGTGCAGACTGCACACCCAGAACTGCAGGCATGAACTGCCTCAAATGCACTAGCTTTGTTTTTAAGCTGGAGATATGGGGGTCCAGCACCTTGGCCAGGGCACCACCCCCTGGAGGTCACTCCCCAGGCTCCTGTCCTGCTACAGCCTGGCCTGGCTACCTAGGTCCCCAGAGGGCCTCCTTAATGCAGAGCCCCAAGTTGGATGTCTCAGGTCAGGCTCAGGGTCATAGCAGACCAAATAAATGGCCCCTCTAGATGCCAATAGGCCACTCCCCCAGTTCCAGAGTGTGGAAAGAAGTGGATTTTTCTGAGAGTCCAAGGGGTGGCTGTGGCTACAGGCTTGGCCAGGGAAAGCTAGGAGCCCTGAGGAAGGGTCAGGAGCAGGGGTATGGATGGTGGAATGCTTCTAGAATGACAGGTATTTTCACAAACATGATAGAGGTTCAGAATTGGCATCACCTGAGACTCTTGTGATGGCTCATAGCTCTTTTTAAAAGTTCTTTAAACTTCAGTAAACCATTTTCCAGTTTTCTGTGTGGATGAACTGGGGAGAGAAGTGGCTTTCAAGTTGGAAAGGCCTTGAGCAAATTCTCACAAATGAGAACTCCGACACAGGTCTCCGACGAGGAGAGTCATGCCCATGGGACACCCAGGTCTCCGATGAGGAGAGTCATGCCCACGGGGTGTCCGGGTCTCCTACGAGGACAGTCATGCCCATGGGGCCCCTGGGTCTTCATGCCCATGGGATGCCCAGGTCTCCGACGAGGACAGTCATGCCCGTGGGGTGCCTGTGATGGTGGGAGCTTGGCATGGCCCCTCCTGCAGTGCCTGGGAATCAGAACCTGGGGAGATGCAAGGGGATCTGCCTCTAGGCCAGGCCACTAGGGCGGACCAAGCACCTGCCGGGCCATGCCGGGCACTGACACAGCTCCTAGCCTGGCAGGAGGGTGTTCAGCAATAAATAGAGCAATTAGGCAAATAGTTATAATCATGACAAAATATGACTAGAGATAGGCAAAGTGACCTGGAGTCCAAGAGAGCGAGCCAGTCATTTATTATTTATGTATTTATAATGCAAATGTTATAGACATTACATATTGTACACAAATGCCTAGAATATGATAGATGACGGATGGACGGACAACCGATGGCAGGTGTCCACTGCGAACCAGGAGCTGTGTCCACAGTGTGTGCCGACTACCTTAGGTGCCACCCCCAGGGAACTTCCGTGAAGGGGGTGGGGGGGACAATGAACAAACGAAAAAAAAATAACAAATGGGAATACATGTCATAAAGGACAACATCTGAGCTGACATGCAGAGTGTAACAGGAGGTTCCTGTGTCAATGTGCCAGAGAGAGCATCTTCGAGGAGCGGACATAAGTCAAGCCCAAAAGGCACCACTGTGGGAAAAATCAGGGGCAGGGGGAAGGTGGTGGCTTAGAAGGGACTGCAGGGGCTCTGCAGAGAGGGCCCGGGGAAGGGGAGCAGGAGGGGAGGAGGGGGTCTGGGTCAGGCAGGAGCCTGCTGAGTGGGGCAAGGGGAGGCGTCCAGAGGATGTGGTGCTGGGGAAGGCGTCCAGGGACCGGGCAGGATTTTCCTGGGCAAAGGCAGAGGTGGCTGGGCATGTAAACCTCGGGCATAAGGGGGCCTGCAGGGCAACAGCTGTTGAGGGGCAGGAACGAAGTGGAGAGGCTGGGAGCCTCACACTGAGAAGGGTGTTGGCCCAGCCCCTGGACCTGCCTGGTCAGCGTGCATGTGAGCCCAGCAGGTCTTAGGGCGCAGAGGCCAGAGGTCTGTGTCAGGGAACACTCACTTACTTAACGTTTGTCCGTCTTCAGCTGTTCCCTGAACTGTGGCCTGTGGCAAGAGGCACCGGGCGAAGCATTTTATATGTAACCCCTTTGCCCCAGGTTGTGCGGCAGCTGCTGTCACTGTCCCTGCTGGAGCTGGAGCACCTGAGTATGTCCCAGGCCACAGATGAGGCTCTGACCCCAGCAGTGTGGCCTGGGGGCCTGGCCTTGCCCCTGGGTATATCTGCCACCTTTCAGCTCCACATCCCGTGCTCTACTGTGAATCCGCCTTTTGAGGCCCCTTTTTGCTGGCCCAGGAGGCCTGGCCGGGGCCTTGGCAATGGGGTCATGTCGGCATTCCTCCTTGGCACTGCCCAGCAGCCTGCCCGGGGCTTCCTCCTGAACTCCCAGTGGCTGCAATGCGGCACCCCTCCCCACTGCCCCTGCCGTCTGAGCCCGGGTCCTGAGCATCCAAAGTGCTCCCTTTGGCCCTCCGATGCCCGCACTAAATTCCCTCTCTTTAAATGCTCTGCGGGCTTCCTGTTTTCCTGGCTGGATACAGGTGGGCAGCAGGCGCAGTGGCCAGGGGACCAACACTGGCTGACTGCAGGCACTCAGGCTGGTTTCCCTTTCAGGCAGTGTGCTCTGGGGTGTGTCCCCAGGGTGAGACCTCCAGCCCCGTGAGGCCGCTGAGGACCAGCTCCTTGTAGGAGCTCCAGCCCCTGTTCTTAGACAGTTGGTTGGCTTTTGTCCTCAGGCTGCAAAGTGGTCCCCACAGCCAAGGCTCTGTGCCCTCCGCTTCACCTAAAGCAAGAGGGGGATGGTGAGGGAGAGGGTTCTGTCTTCATGCAAGAGGACCTTCTCCCGCAAAGCCTTCCGCAGACTCCCAGACCTACAGGAGACCACACCGCAGGCCCCCTCTTGCTGGGGGATCTGGGAGAGTGAGGGCCTGGCTGGCACTTTCAGCCTCTGCCGTTGGGGTGGACTCAGCCTCCTGGAAAAGGAGACAGATGGCCCTGCAGTTAGGACCTGTGTTGGCCTAGGGGCCACCTTGCTGCACTGCACCCGGTCCCTTCAGCCTCACAAGCAGCTGACACGGCTCATGCCTCATAGCTGAGACCAAGTCCAGGACACTCCCAAGTTTGCAGTGTTTCTGACAAGACCCCTCTGTTATCCGGCTCCCTGGTGGGGAACTCACGATAGGAGGCTGACAAGGCTGTGGCCCTGGGGACCATTCCCTCCTGGCATTACTGTCGGGGCCTCTGAGTGTGTGCCCGAATCCCGAGGCTGGGCGTCCCTGGAGATGGTGCACGGTGTCAGCAGACACGGCCTCCTGAAGGTCTAGCTCAGATGTCGCCTGACATGGGTCTTGAACTTTTCTTAACTCCTGTCTTTCTACGCCCCAGTGCTGGTCTGGCACACACATCCACTTCCCCTCCTTCCTCCCACACACCTCCTGTTGCTGTCTGGGCAGCTCTCTTCAGTCCCCAGTCCTTACTCGGCCACTGTGTATATTTAACTCTGGCTCTCCTTGAACATCCGTCCCTACGGCCCCTTTATCCTGCTTTCCTGGCCGTCTGGCCCATTTGTCTGGTCTCCATGGCGATGAGCACCTCTAATGGATGCGCAGTCCGTATGAGGTCACACCAGCTGCATTTTGTCACCTCCCGCCTGCACACACCCCATTTCACACAGCCTGCTCTGCCCCCAAATCACCAAGGTGCACCGATGGTCTAGTTTTGTCTCCTGAGATTCATTCCCTCCCATTTTTCGTGTTTTCTGCCCAGTTTTAAGTATCTCAAAGATGCTTTCCTGGAAACTTTGCTGATCTGCTCTGGACCTTAGTCTCCTGACTGTGGGTCAGGGGCAGCCGGTGCTGACA